AGGAACTGGGTCACTAATTTTTACCATCAAACTAGCCTTAGTATGGGGATGGGGGAGCAGAAGGAGCTAGTTACACGTCAGTGGTTGGTTCTCTCCGGTTAACAGAGAGGCCATCAGGTGCTCTAAGAGAGTAGGGCAGACCTTTGGTGATTGACCCCAAAGAGTCAGTGGTTTGGTTTGGGATTAAGATTCAAACTCTGGCTCTACCCCTTAGTAGCTGGGTGACCTTGGGAACATCTGCTTGTACTCTGAGCCTGGGTTCCCTCTTCTGTAAAAGGGGGCTGAAATAATACCGATTGCATAGGGACTGTCAGTATTAAGTGGCCTATGAGAGGCCCCATAGTAAGCACTCAGTTTAATACTGGCTTCCTTCCCCCTTACTTTATAAGGAACTCCACCATACCCTACAGCTTTGGTTTAAGAAAAAGGAGAAGGTGGGTATGGTGGCTCAGGCCTGTAATCCTAGCACTTTGGGAGGCTGAGGTGGGAGGATTGCTTAAGCCCAGGAGTTTGGACTAGCCTAGGCAACATAGTGAGACCCCATGTCTAAAAAAAGAAACCAACCAACAAACAAAAAGGAGCTGACTGTGCTGGCACATGCCTGTAGTCCTATCTACCTGGAAGGCTGAGGTGGGAGGATTGCTTGAGTCCAGGAGTTCAAGACTACAGTGAGCTATGATTGTAGCACTGCGCTACAACCTGGGTGACAGAACTAGATCTTATCTCCAGAAAAAAAAAATGTTGGCCGGGCGCGGTGGCTCAAGCCTGTAATCCCAGCACTTTGGGAGGCCGAGACGGGCGGATCACGAGGTCAGGAGATCGAGACCATCCTGGCTAACATGGTGAAACCCCGTCTCTACTAAAAAAAAATACAAAAAAACTAGCCAGGCGAGGTGGCGAGCGCCTGTAGTCCCAGCTACTCGGGAGGCTGAGGCAGGAGAATGGCGTAAACCCAGGAGGCGGAGCTTGCAGTGAGCAGAGATCCGGCCACCTCACTCCAGCCTGGGTGACAGAGCGAGACTCCGTCTCAAAAAAAAAAAAAAAAAAAAAAAATGTCTTTTAATAAATAAGAAAGAGAGGCCGGGTGCGGTGGCTCATGCCTGTAATCCCAGCACTTTGGGAGGCTGAGGTGGGTGGATCACCTAAGGTTGGGAGTTCAAGATCAGCCTGGCCAACATGGAGAAACCCCATCTCTACTAAAAATACTCTACTAAAAATACAAAATTAGCCGAGCGTAGTGGTGCATGCCTGTAATCCCAGCTACTTGGGAGGCTGAGGCAGGAGAATCGCTTGAACCTGGGAGGCTGAGGTTGCGGTGAGCCAAGATCGCACCATTTGCACTCCAGCCTGGGCAACAAGAGCGAAACTCCATCTCAAAAATAAATAAATATGCCAGACACGGTGGCTCATGCCTGTAATCCCAGTACTTTGGGAGGCCGAGGTGGGTGGATCACGAGCTCAGGAGATGGAGACTATCCTGGCTAACACAGTGAAACCCTGTCTCTACAAAAATACAAAAAAATTAGCCAGGCGTGGTGGCGGGCACCTGTAGTCCCAGCTACTCGGGAAGGCTGAGGCAGGAGAATGGTGTGAACCTGGGAGGTGGAGCTTGCAGTGAGCCGAGATTGTGTCACTGCACTCCTGCCTGGACGACAGAGTGAGACTCTATCTCAAAAAATAAATAAATAAAAATAAATAAATAAGAAAGAAGAGAAAGCTGTCATCTTACGAGGTTAGGTCCAGCTCTTTCTGAAGCCATAAGAGCTGGGAATTAAAAAAACGTTGGCCAAATCTCCGGAGCTCGTGGTAGAAACACAGGGAGAGACCAAGGTGGCCACTAAACAATGTGGTCCTGTAGCTTCCAGGTCAGCTCCTGGCAGGCTGCTGGGCCACCCCACCCCAGGAGCTGTTGCTCAGGGAATTTATTACTGAAACAAACAGACCTATACAAGGGAGCCTTTGTTAGGTGCCTCACCCAGGCCAGGGGGACCTCAAATGATGAGTAAGGGAGACCAGGAGCTGGAGGGATGGAAGGCAGGCTCAGGGGTGCTGCCTTTCCCAAGGCCTCTTTCCACTACCCCTTCCCACTACACAGAACTTCCTAGGGTCTCACCAACTACTCAATCCATGAGACCTCCACAGAGGAGCTCAGACTTTCCCCACACCGCAGCCCTGCGGTTAATAGCTAACATTTAGAGGGTGCTTACAGCAGGCGGCCCCTAGAACAAGTTCTCCCTAAGCTTGTTCATTTAATCCTGTCATCGCCTGAGACAGATACTGTCATTATCCCCATTTTTCAGACAAGTTGGCTGAGGCTTAGAGGTTAAATCACTCACCCCGGGGGCTAGGCACTGGCAGTGGTACAGCTGGCACTGAAGCCAGAGCTGGCTTGTACATGTGACCACTGTCCCACACAGCCACCTTCCACTCTTGATTCTCATCTGCTACGGGAACAGGAAACTGAAGCTCGGAACAAAGAAAAGCACAGACATCTTCTGCGGAAGGGGAATTTGGGAGGGAAGGGAGCAACCTCTGGGTCTTAGGATCCTGGGAGGTGAGCATCATTCGAGGGAACTGGACAAACTCTGGAAGCAGTTGGATAAAGCCAACCAGTTTTGAAGCTGAGTGTCCCTTAAGACCCTAGACTACAGGCATCTCCCACATCCGCCCATTCTCGGTTTCCCTGAGGTGGGAGATAAGGATGGGCCCTGGGCCACCAACCTAAGGCTCTAGATAATACTGGCACTGTACTGCCAGCTCCTCCAGTATCACCATTACCCCTCTGGGTTAGAGTATCCACAGCCCCTCTGCCCCTTGCATGCTGACCCCGGCTCCATCTTCTAGGTAAAGTCTACCTATGTTTCTAAGCTGGGGTACCAGATAGATATGGGGTAGGTACTAGAAGCCAAAGGGAGATCTGGCTGCCCAGGGAAGCAGAGAGAGGCAGCTGCAAGTTTTCATGAGAACAGGGGAGGAGGAGGAACCGAGAGCGCAAATATGTGCGGGAACCGGGAGAGGCTATGGGTTATCGACCACAGTTTCACTGGGACGAGACCCAAGCGGATGAAGAGGGAGGCAGGGGAGGCCGGCTAGAAGTGGCTTTCACCGCCCGGAAGGGGCCGACACTGGGAGGAGGGCTCCCCCTGCTGGACGTACTGCCTACATGGTGGGGAGAAGTGAGGGGGCAGGAAAGTCGCTTAAATTTCCCAAGTCCCCGCCTTGGGGGTTGAGAGAGACTAGGCCGGGTTGAACATCAATAAAATGCACGGCTGACAGGCTTTTATTACAGACTGGGGGCAGTAACGGCTGGACAGAGAACAGAAAAGGAACATCTGAGACCAGGCTCAAAGCTGGGGGGGATACACAACCTCCAATAATACAAGGTGGGTGCAGCACTTCTAGACACACACACAGACACACATACACGTACTCATAAATGGCACAGCCTACGGTACAAGAAAAAGGGCAAGGTAGGTAAGGGCACCCGACACCCTCCTGCCTGCAGAGGGCCACAGGGTTAATGTGCCTTCCTGCACGCAGGCTTAAGGGGGATAAACAAGGAGAGGGCTGCCGTTGGAGGAGCCCTGCGGATAACAGTGACTGATAACAGGTCCATGCAGGGGAAGGAAGCACAGTTCACAGAGTGGCAAGCTCAGTGCCAGCCAGTGCAAGAAACAGTCAGTTCTCTGATCCTGGCTTAGTCACGGCAAATATTTACCCGGCTTGGCTCCTCTCCATAGCCAGCAGGTTGCTTGCTCATCCAGTCTGTCCCTGGTAAGCGGGCTTGTGCTCAACGAGAACAAACACAGTGACTCAGCTGAGGGTCACTAAAGGACCACAGACTGTGAGGGTGGGAGGTCATGGTTTAGAGGTTGAGTCTAGTGCAGCTGGTCACCTGGGATCTAGTGAAAATGTAGGGTCAGATTCAGTGGGTCTGGAGTCTGAATCTCTAAGGGGCTGCCAAGTGATGCAGATGCTCCTGGCTTGTGGACCACACTGTGTATAGCAAAGCTGTAGACCAGGAGGTCTCAACCTTGGCTGCACAGAATTCTCTGGGGAGCTTTTAAATTTCCCAGTGCCCAGGCTGTACTCATATCTTGGCAGAGACAGAGTTTTGCCATGCTGGCCAGGCTGGTTCAATCATCTCTGAGGGTGGGACCCAGGCATCAGGGTTTTTAAAGCTCCCCAGGTAATTCCAGTGTGGGTGAAAAGCCAATGATCTAGGAATAATCAGCAGAGGTGGGGAGTAAGGAAAGCAGATATGTGAATAGTCTGAAAAACATAATATCTATAATCATTTAATTTTTCTTTTTGGAAAATGTATGTATATATACACACAATTTCCATAAACAAACATAGATAGTAAAGCTGATTAAAATCTTCCTGTCCGATTGGTACCAGCACATGAAGCTCTTCTACAAAATCCCTGACTGACTGGGAATAAAATTTCCTAGTGACAGCCCACTCCTTCTTAGGCAGGTCTGACTGTTTGAAATCTCTCCCACTATTGAGATGAAACCTGCTTCCCTGTAACTTCCCTGTAACTCTACAGGTTCCTTGGAGCCACAGAGAAGGCAGCAATCAGTAGGGGAAGTGCTATAAAAATATACTATCCTGGCTGGGCACGGTGGCTCATGTTTGTAATCCCAGCACTTTGGGAGGCTGAGGTGGGTGAATCATAAGGTCAAGAGACGGAGACCATCCTGGCCAACATGGTGAAACCCCGTCTCTACTAAAAATACAAAAATTAGCTGGGTGTAGTGGGTGCCTGTAGTCCTAGCTACTCAGGAGGCTGAGGCAGGAGAATCGCTTGAACCCGGGAGGCAGAGGTTGCAGTGAGCCAAGATCACGCCACTGCACTCCAGCCTGGGCGACAGAGTGAGGCTCCATCTAAAAAAAAAAAAAATCCTATCCATAAATGAGTTACGTTGTAACCAACAGAAATATATTCTAGCTAGATTAAGTTAAAAAAAAAAAAGAGAGAGAGAGAGAGACTTTACAGATAGTGGGGTGTTTCAAGGCAGGGGGAGGAACTGCACGGCCCAGACCTGGGAGGGAGGGATCCTGGGCGTTGCAATAGCAGCAGGCAGAGGCTGTTGGTTCCTGTTGTTTCCTGGCTGCCATGAATGACTTGGCTTCAATGACTCCCAAGGTTCTGGATCCCTCCAGTTCAAATTTCAAATTACTGACAAAACAATCTGATTGGCCACGTTGGCTCAGGTGAATACGCTGGCACTAAGCTTTGGCCAGTATGACTCACATGGTAACAGACAGGGCTGCTGGGGCCCTCCCTGTCACCAGAAACGGAGTCACACCGGTTGCTACCCCTAGAGGGAGCTATCCTAATCAATCATAGGCAGGGTCAAAAAAATAATTATGGAATGATTTTCCATTTGTGATTCTCTACACCACCATTACACTACACTTGACCAGCTAACTGAAAACCAACTGAGTACAAAGAACTTAGAGCATGAGCTCTGAAGAGTCCTGAATATAAAGGGTAGGGAGGGAAATGGGTTGAGCTTACAAAGAAGGGCCTGAGTCCCAATCCCACACCCTCTCTTGACACCCAGCCCTAGCTGCACTCTGGCCTGGCAGGTCCCAGAGTTAAGGTGCAAGTCTCTCATAGAGCCAGTCTTCCTCCCCGCGGTGGGTCATGGGCCCCAAAGGGGAATCTCCTGTGGGCAGGCCCCGCCGAAAGACTATCCGGTCATGCAGGCGGTTGGTTTGACCTTGCCAGAACTCCATCACCTGAGGGTACAGGACATAGCCACCCCTATAAGGAGAAGCAGAGGTTTCAGTGCTCTGTGGATTTTCCTAGCCAGGTCACTCTCCCACCCTCACCCCTCATCCCAGGGCCTCTTGAAGGAAGTTGCTGGGATGCATCTGATGAGGGTGGCCAGGGAGGAGGAGATCTGTGATTCCCCAGGCAGGTGGCTTCAAGTAAACACAGGGGCCTGGTGTCCCTTTCTAGATGACTACCAGATGTCACTCACCAGGATTTTGGCTTGGGCACCTCTTGATCCTCGTAGAGCTGTTCCAGTTCCTCATTTTTCTTTCTCAGATACTGTCCAGGCGAAGGAGTTAGAAGAAGGGCCAGGCCCAGTCAATGATTCATTAACAAGGACTTCCTGGGGATATGTGCTGGGGACACTGGTGAGCAGAGCAGACTGGCCTCTGCCTTCCAGGAGCACACAGTCAACGGGATGGCCAGATGGACAGAGGAGGCCTATTTTCCCTCTCCCTACCCCTATTTCCCTTCTCACTGCCCTTTTCACTGTTTTCACTGGGCTGGAGAGAGGAACCTGGCATCTCCTGGGGACAGCTTCTGGGGATAAGCCAAAGCCTCCGCCACCTGGAGGACTACAGTGGAGCCCCACTCACCTCCCGATCAGGGATCACAGAACTCTGGTGGCTGACCACAGCCCCAATCTGGCTGCTCTTGGGGCGGGAGTGGAAGTAGCACTCAGCCTCCTCCTCCGGCAGCTTCTTCACAGGGCCTTCCACACGCACCTGCTCAAGGATGGCTCTGGGTGAATGGCGTTCAATGCCACCTGCCCTCCCTACCAGCACAGGCCCTATTCCTCTCTGTTCTATCGGCTGTCCCACCACTCTTGGCTCCAGCTAACTGAGGGCTATTATAGAGGCAGAGTGCCCAGCTGGGATGTTTGCCCAGTCTGGGGACCTTCACTAGACTTAGCCATAAACTCAGGCCTTGCCAATCCAGCCCATCCCAGGCTGTCCTGGGAAAATTCACTCACCTGACGGTTAAGTGGTTCCCAGTAGAAGACAAGGGAAGCAAAGGGATTCGAGTCCTAGAAGTAAAAGAGAATCCACAGCCAGCCATCAGGATAGGGAGAGGAGGCCTCCGGCATGCAGGGAAAAGGCAGGAGAGCTGTAGTGTGCAGGCCCACAGCAGATGCATCCACTGTATGAGCTCATTTAAACCCTCAAAAGTAGGCCTATTGTCACAGATACGGAGACAGGCTAAGTCACATGCCCAAGTTCCTGCAGTAAGTGGTGGAGCTAAGTTTAAGCCAGTCAGACTCCAAAGTGAGACTGGGTGATTTCTCTCACCCACAGATTTGCGAGTCTTGAGAAATGCATGTTTGGCTGGCATGGACTCAGGGAGGTTTACTCACTTTGGATTCATTCATTGAATGCACACGAAGTGCTTACTCTGGGTCTGACAACAGGAGACATGTGGGGGATACAGCAGAGATAAAACACAGCATCCTCTACTCCTGCAGAGCTTACTGTTCAGCAGAGGAGACAAATATCAGTTACATAATCACCCAAATAAAAGCTTAGTTACAAACTGAAGAAAATGATAAAAAGGAAAGTTGCAAGTTATAATGGCAGCAAACAACATGAGGGGCTGAGTCTGAGTCAGAGTCAAGGAAGGCCTTCCTGAGGAGGTAACATGTGGGCTGAGATCTGAAGGAACAGGTGATGGCTGATGGGGTGAGGTTGGTTAGAAAGTGCATCCATTCATTTATGGCAAAGAGCACAGCAAGTGCCAAGGCCTCATGGCAGGAGGGCACCTGCAGAGAGAGAGCAAGTAGACTGAGGGGTGGGGTGGCATGAGAAGGTGACTGAGGAGGAAAGGGCCAAATCCCGCAGGCCCTGGGAAAGATTACCAGCTCTTTTCACACACCAGCTCTTTTCCTTTTCGACTCTCGAAGTTAGTGAAGAAGCGGAAGCCATCTTTCCCAAAGCCCTTCAGTAGCAACATGCGAGCAGAGGGTTTTCCATCTCTAGGAGCAAACAGCAGAGCACTGTGGTCAGAGCCTGCTTCAATGTTCTGGCTACAGTTCCTCTCCCCAAAAGATGTCTCAGCACCCCCTCCAGCTGTACCTCCTTTACTGGGCTGTTAGGCTGGGGCCCCCTCCCATGTGCTCCTGGGGGTTTGTCCTAGAGGTATGACACCACAGCCTAGGGTCCTGTTATGGACTGAATAGTGTCACCCAAAACCCCTGTGTCAAAGCCTTAAACCTCAATGTGACTGTATTTGAAGACAGGGACCTTATGGAGGTAATTAAGGTTAAATAATAAGGTCATAGGGGTGGGGCCCTAATCCAATAGGACTGGTGTCACTGTAAGAGAAGAGGCACTTTAGAACCACCTCCCTTGCCCCCCACAACACACACAGGAAAGGCAGTATGAGGACATGGCAAAAAGCAGCTGTCTGCAAACCCCAAGCAGAGGCCTTACCAGAAACCACCCCTGATGGCACCTTGATCTCGGACTTCTAGCCACCAGAACTATAAGGAAATAAACTCCCGTGGTTTAAGCTATCCAGTCTACAGTATTTTGTTAAGACATCCCTAGCACACTCATAAGACCCTAAGGGCAGGGACTAACAATAATGCAATCATCCAATGCTTCGGCATTACAGTGGTGCTACGAGATCAGCTCCTCTGCTCAGAGCTCTGGGAAATATCCACTCGCACAGTACAAGAGCGCTGGCTTCAAGGCCTTACACTTTAGCAAGGAGAATTGAATAATAGGCTAATACAAGTGATGTCTCAAAGGACATATGATTGTCAAAGGAATGATATAGTCAAGTACTGTGCTAGATTTCGAGAGAGAGACAGAGCTTCACCAGAAGTAGCTCCTGAATGACAGACGAGGCTTGGGTAGATGGGGAGATGAGGGAGGCAAGGGGTTGCTTGTGGATATATCAAGGGCAGAGATGAACAAGCTACTGCATTTTTTTTTTTTTGAGATGGAGTCTCACGCTCTGTCCCCCAGGCTGCAGCGCAGTGGCACGATCTTGGCTCACTGCAATCTCCACCTCCTGGGTTCACGCCATTCTTCTGCCTCAGCCTCCCGAGTAGCTGGGACTACCCACCCAGCTAATTTTTTGTATTTTCAGTAGAGACGGGGTTTCACCGTGTTAGCCAGGATGGTCTCGATCTCCTGACCTCATGATCCACCCGCCTGGGCCTCCGAAAGTGCTGGGATTACAGGCGTGAGCCACTGCGCCCAGTCTAAGGCATTGCATTTTTATCACTGAAATATAATTTTGTGTTCTGGTCTTTGGTTTATAGGTAAGGACACAGGCCCAGAGAGGACAAGCATCTCATCTAAAGCCACACAGCACATTAATAACAGAGCTGGAACCATAAAGTTGGCATCCAGAGTTGAGAGCTTCATAAGCTTCCTAGTTCATATGTATCCACCCAAAGAGGGGCCCACGGCCATGCCCACCTGGTACAGGTAGCCAGACACATGGCATTTGCTTCCCCTATGTCAGGACACTGAACAGCCTCCTCAAACCAGGCAGCAAACTGTTTCAGTGGGTCAAGGGAGGTCAGATGAGTCTCCTCAAATGCCTAGGAAGGGAGATTTATTCCATTTAATAAACATATATAGTGCTTACTAGGTACCTGGCACTGTTCTAATCATTTTTCAAATATCAACTCATTTAGTCCTCATGACAGTGACCTTAAAATAAAAAATAGTATGCAGTAAGAAGAATCTGTGCCCCATTTTACAGGTGAGGAAACAGGCATAAAAAGGTCAGACAACTTGCTGTCCCACAGCTAGTGATGGATAAATCAGGGTTTTCATGTCATGGGTAATCAAAACTGTCTGTGCATCAGAATCACCTGGGGAGCATAAAAAAAAACTTTCTGGGCTCCACCCCCATAATTTCTCATTCAGCAGGTCTGAGGCTTAATCAAAAACTGCATTTTTATTTACTTATATGCTCGACTAATTTTATTTTTTTGTAGAGACAGGGTCTCACTATGTTGCCCAGGCTGGAAAAACTGCATTTTAAACAAGCATTTCTAGAAATGACCACATGCAACCAGATTTGGCAACCAGGGCCCTGGACCCCAACTCCTAAAAGGTTCTCTTGGTTCCCCTCCTGAGAAGGGAAAAGGAAAAGAACTTCCCAGTGGTCAGCAGAAAGTACTGAAGGCAGCAAGCTAAGAGCTTTCTCCTCTCCTCCTACCTGAGGTTTGGGTGACCCCCAAACCTCCTTGCCCCAGGGGGTGGCCCCAGAAGCCCTGAGAGGCTGGTTCCTCCTACTCCCCTCCCCCTAGTAGATGACTCCGAGGACCACTCTTCCCCCGCCCTTGAGGGAGGCCCAGCACTGTCCTGACATCCATCACATGAAACCCTGATTCATCCATCACTAGCTGTGGGCCTGAGCAAGTTATCTGACCTTGCTACCTGTCGAGTAAGCAGGGTTCTAAGCACTTTACAAACATTTAAGACCATAACATCCCCGTAAGGCAGGTACTATCACTTCCCAGATGAGGAAACTGAGGCCCAGAGACACTAAGGATTCCAGCCCAGGCAGGCTCCAAAGTTCGAGCTCTCACCCATTACGAAAGGCTGCCTTTTGAACCCATTTCATTTGCGTTTTCCCGGAACTCCTCCCCCGGTGGGATGTCTTTGAAGCCCCCTTTTCCCACTGGGGGTGATCCCCAAACCTCCTTGCCCCACCGGGTGGCCCCAGAAGCCCGGAGGGGCTCCTCCTACTCCCCGCCCCGCTGTAGATGACTCCGGGGACCCCTTTTCCCCCGCCCCTGCAGGAGGCCTGGCCCTGGCGGTGGCACCTCTCGGTCCCCGCGGTAACTCTTGCGCATGGGTCCCAGGTCCATGGCAGCACTGCGACCACGCAGGTGACGGAGGTAGCCTGGCCACTCGGCAGGTCGCCCGAACGTCGCTGTGACGCCCCGCAGCCGGCACGTCATGGGGGCCGCCGGCCACGTGACCCGGCTGTGGCCCGGCGCTGGGTTCCTTTGAGTTCGGAACCAATTTCTCACCCTGGACTTCTACCCCGGGGAAGGAAGGATTTGCTAGTCGTCCAACCAAGCTAACATGTCCTAAATCCTCGGAGCCAATGAGTTTCCAGGATCGGAGGAGGGAGACAGACATGGAGAGGTCATTGGTTGGAGCTTTTCGGTAGCAAGGCCAATTAGAGCGAGAACAGAGAAACCCAGCGACCAATGGGTAGCGCCTTTGGGGGCGGGAGCAGAGAGACAAGGAAATGCTGTCACCGCCGTTAACACGCACGTGGAGGTTGGTTAAAGGTATAGGAGGATCTCCTGCAGCTCAGGCGGGGTGGAGGATGTGTCCCGGGGGCTTGAGAGGAGTAGTCAGTATTAAGTGGCTGGCCCATAGTAGGTGCCTGTAGGCGAGCTTAGGGCAGGAAGTACCCCTTGGGAAGGGAGACTAGTGGAATGGGAAAAGAAAAATGGAAAATGGAATTAGGGGCCAGACTCTGAAGCAAGGTGATGGGGACACATAGAGAAAAGGGTAATCTGGTTGTGGGGAGGAATTAGGGCATGAGAGTGGGAGAGGTTGAAATGACTTGTGGACCATGCCCCGAGTGGGGAGGTGCAGTGGGGTTAGGAAGAGACGGTGAGGCGAGAAGGAAGATGGCTTTGGGAAGGTCCCAAAGGAAATTTGGTACCAAGGTATCCCAGACCAGAGTGGTCTTCCTCTTCTAGTTTTTTGTTTTGTTTTGTTTTGTTTGAGACGGAGACTAGCTCTGTCACTCAGTTTGGAGTGCAGTGGCGCGATCTCGGCTCACTGCAACTTCCACCTCCCGGGTTCAAGCATTTCTCTGCCTCAGCCTCCCGGGTAGCTGGGATTACAGGCGCCTGCCACCACGCCTGGCTAATTTTTGTATTTTTAGTAGAGACGGGGTTTTACCATGTTGGCCAGGCTAGTCTTAAACTCCTGATCTCAGGTGATCCACCCGCCTCGGCCTCCCAAAGTGCTGGGATTATAGGCGTGAGCCACCGCGCCCGCCACCTCTTCTAGTTTTAAACCCCCTCCCTCCAACCTCATTTATTTAAGCAAGGGTCAGAGTACTTTGCTCCCTTTGCTCATGGTTTCCCCTGCAACGGTGCATTGGAGTTCATAGGAGCCAGTGACCTGGTAGATGGCGAGGCTGCCAATGTCCCATCTCTCCAGGGCCTCCCCCATCTTTGTCAAGCTTCCCTTTTTCCACATTTTGCCCTTGCTAGGTAGTAGGAGTCTAGCCCCTAGGTCAATGCAAGTAATTGCCAAGTGAGAGTACACGGAGCAGGTGGCTGTGAATAGCCCTTCCAGGCTGTGGATGCAAGGCTGAAAAATGGGAAACCCACTCGTGCCCAGTCCAATTCTGACCTGGCTGGGGCAGCCTTGGGTCGAGACCTCTCTGTAGCCCTGCTTTCCACCAGCATCAGGAAGGGGAACTGCACGAGCCATCTAGGCAGGCACCCAGGACTGTGCCAGGTAAGGGGAACTTCCTGGCCTGGCCAGGTGTCTGCATTACAGCTGAGCTTCATGAAGCCCTACATTAGATACCTGTCATCCTTTATGTGTACATAGCTTGAGCCAGATAGAATCTGGAAGACAATTTTGCTGCAAAATAATAATACATGTCTCAAAACTTAATGATATTGGTCTATGGATTCTCCACTGGTTGAATTTTTTTGTGCTGCCGTCATTTTGCTCCATCAGCATAATTGAGAGGAAGCTGATTAGATTTACTTTCCTGTTGAAGTTATCTTTCTTTCTTTCTTTTTTTTTTTTTTT